CCCCGGTTCTGCCAAAAAAAAAAAAAAAAAAAAAAAAAAAATGGGGTAAATTCCTAGCACCACCACCCACCCCACCCCCACCCTGCCAAAAAAAATTACTTCTAGCTGGGCTGGGTTGCCCCATCTGTAATCTCAGCTTCTTGGAACACTGAGGCAGGAGGAACATGAGTTTGAGATCAACCCAGGAACTCAGTGAGAGACCCTGTCTCAAAAAATTATAAAAAGGGCTGGGGATATGCAGTTGAGGAGCAGAACTGGGTTTAGTACCTGGGTGGTGGCAGGGGGAAATTCTGGATCTTACAAACTTTGATCATAGTCAAGCACTATAGTCTTGCTGAAACTTTTGGTTTTTTAAACTTCAAACAGTCCTAACCTTTTTAGCAGTCTGACTTCAGAATTTTACTTTTTGTGGTTGACATTTGTGGAATATTTCGACTGTGCAAATCTGGCTGGGGCACACTGATAGCTGAGCACCGCCCCGCATGGGCCCCTTACCCACCTTCACTTTCCAGTATTAATCTGATCAAGACCTTGTAAAATGTTTAGCTCCAGAATTTGCAAACAAATGTAAACATAAAAGTACCCTATTGGAAGTTTCACTTAAAATACATTTTCTTTTTATAGGGGCCGTGGTGTTGGACCACCTCGGGGGGCTTTGGTGCGTGGAACCCCAGTGAGAGGCGCCATTACCAGAGGTGCCACTGTGACTAGAGGAGTGCCACCCCCACCTACAGTGAGGGGGGCTCCAGCACCAAGAGCACGGACTGCAGGCATCCAGAGAATACCTTTGCCTCCACCTCCTGCGCCAGAAACATATGAAGAATATGTAAGAATATTTTGAACAGTGTACCATTTTCCAATACCTGGAAGTTTTCCCAAGAAAGTTAAATGACAGGGTTTTGACCCCTTATGTAGGTGAGGGAGAGGGATACCTCTAAGATTTAGAATCTACCTTTTTGTACAGCGAATGAGATTGAACTCGTGAGATTTTTCCATTTTAGACTTGGTTTACTGCTTAGTGTAGATAACTGGAAAGTAAGCTGTACCTTAATTATGTTTTCCTAAGGGGTCATCTACTAACACAGGAAGCTCAGGTCTGTAGTTCCTCGGGCACACTTGCTCTGTGGGCTGTCATACTTGCTTTTTACTTGTGTGTTTAGTAACCTTTTCTCTCGTGACTGTTTCATAGTGAGTGTTAATATGTTGGGGGAAAGTTTCATGTCCTGTTAATCCAGAGGCCTGTTACTAATAATCCAGAAAGCTGTTATACCTGGGAAACTGGTATGGGATGTAATTATTTTCCCTATTGTCTACAATTCTGACCTTGTATTTCTTTTTTTTTTTAAAGGGATATGATGATACATACGCAGAACAGAGTTATGAAGGCTACGAAGGCTATTACAGCCAGAGCCAAGGGTGAGTGTGACAGTGTAAGTGTGTTTGGTGCCC